CATAAAAAATTAAAACAAACTATAATTACTATTTTCAAATAATTAAGAGAAGACATTGCATTTACAAAAGAATAATAGGGTGTTCTAAAAAAGAACTATTGAGAGGGCTGGGGATTTAGCTCAGTGGTTCCAACACCTGCCTCGCAAGCTCAAGGTCCCGGTACCAAAAAAAAAAAGGACTATTGAGAGACCTGCCATCAGCAACAATAGAACAAAGGAAACTAACAATAAAAAGACTGGAAGATGAAGTTTAGAACATTGTCAAGAAAGTAGAAAATATGAAAGAAAAAAATAAAATCAGCAATATATTCAACATCCAAATAATAAGAGTTCAAGAGAAAGAGAGAAAAGTGAAAATAAAGAAATAATCAATGGAACTTTGCTAGAAAATTTTTAAGAACTGCAGAACATGGAATCTCTAGATTTAATTACTTCCTGAATCATGTAAATTCTCAAACAGTTGCCTCTCATACATGCCTTTTCAAGAAACTCCTAAAGGATGTGTTGTACTGAAGTGAAGGAGCAAGCCAAGCTGGAGGGAGATGAAGGATGGAGGGAGTAAGAGCTAGAACACAAGAGAAAGGCAAAGGAGGCTGGTATGGCAGTGAAGATGGAGTCTAGGCTCTCAGCTGTGGACCAAGAAGAGAATGCATTCAGTCCAGGCTAAGGCAGGCCAGATGGGGCCAGCAGAGACTGCTCACAGGGTTGGTAGAATCCCTGATGTGAATGAATGTGTTGAGAAAAGAAACTGACAACTGGAGTTTGTGGCTGAGTAAAAATCTTAGCAAATGAGAGAAAAGAAGAGACAATTATAAACTCCAGAAAAAAACCAAAAATTTACACTTGAGAGAACATAATTTATTGCATAACTCAGCTTTACCGCATGGACATACTAAAATCAACAGTGAGGAATGATCTAATAAAAAAATATATACTATACCTATAATTATAATATTATAATACAACATTACACAGATGGTGGAGTGAATAAAGAGCATGGGAGAAGAGTATAGATAAAAGCAAAAAAAAAGTGTAACTTTCACTGTGGGGGAGTCACTAGATTTTTCCTGGAAAGTCAAGTAGTAGAAAAACAAATGTCTTATGGAAAAATATGAAAGTAATTACCAGAAGAATCAGTTCAATGAGTTCAAAGTAGTAGTCTCTGGAGAAGGAAAAAGACTAGGAAGAGGGACTGGATAATACTATTTATCCTACAATCTTATAATATCAAAAACTTTGAAGCTAACTTAAATGTCTACCAAGAGGACACAGGTTAAATGAATTCTAATACTGTGTAACTCAGTGGCTTTTAAAACTATGTCTGAGTAGCATATATTCTTCAAAAATAAAATATTTTTAAAGACTGTTATATTCCCACAAATAACAATGAGAAAAATGTGTTAAAAAGAACAGCTATATTACAGGTTTAACTCACATACAGTTTACCCAGTGAATTTGAGTACATTCACAGAGCTGTGCAACCATCACCACAGTTTTAAAAGATTTCATCATTTCCAGAAGAAATTTCATACCCATTAGCAGTCACTGCCCACTTATACCTCACCATCCTACCCCTGGGCAGTCTCCTGCACTATGGATATTGCCTGTTCTGGAAACATGCAACATGTGGTCCTATGTAACTGTTTCTTTCTTTTGGCATAATGTTTTCAAGTTCTGTCCATACCACACTATGTATCAATAATTTATTTCTTTTTATTGTCAAAGACTAATTTGTTGTATGACACACCACATTTTATTTATCCATTCATCAGTCAACAGACATTTTAGTTTTTTCCATTTGGGGCTATTAAAATGCTACTATGAACACTTCCCACACAAGTTTTTGTATGCATGTGTTTTCATTTTTCTTGGTTATACACCTAAAGGTAGTATTTCTGGGTCATACACTAATCTAAATTTTAACTTTTTGAGGAACTGCTAGACAGGTTTCCAATATGACTGCATTTTACATTTTTAAAAGCACTACATGATAATTCCAATTTTCCTACATCCTCACCAACATTTGTTATTGTCTGACTTTTTTGTGATAGCCAGTTTTGATTTGCAGTTATATAACTTTTAAAAATTTAACAGATTAATAAAAATAACAGGTTGACAGAACCCTGTCTTGGCAAGGGCTTGAAGAAACAAAATTCTTATTGGGCTTAGTACACATCTCATTAGCTTGATACAAATTTTAGAATGATTTTTTTTTTTTTTTTTGGTACTGGGGATCGAACTCGGGTCCTTACACTTGCGAGGCAGGTGGCTGAACCACTGAGCTAAATACCCGGCCCAGCTTGATTCAAATTTTGCAGAAGACAATTAGGTACAGTTTGAATATCTCACATTCTAAATACTTGGGACCAGAAGCATCTTAGATTTTGGATTTTTATAATTTTTGGATATTTACATATATGTACTGAAGTAGCTTGGTTATGGAACCCAAGTCTAAACATAAAAGTCATTTACATTTCATATGCACCTTATCAGGTAGCCTGAAGTTAAATTTATACAGTGCTGTTAGTGTATCTTCATTTTCACTGCAACCTATCACATGAGGGCAGGTGTAGAATTTTCCCAGCATTTGGGTGCTCATAAACTTTCATATTTTGAATTTCAGATTTTTTGGTTAGGAATGTTCAACCTATGTTTCAGAATGTGAAATGTACTTGATCTTTGACTAGACTTCCTATTTCTAAGTATTTGACCTAAGGATACAACTATTGGGAAAATGTATGTCCTTATTGTGTCACTATTTATAATCTCATAATATCAAAAACTTTAAAACTAATTTAAATGTCTACCATGGGAACACAGATTAAATTAATTCTGAGGTACATATGGATTGTCTGGGCAATTATTACAAATAATAATGTATTTTGATTGCTGTGGGAAGCTACCTACCATGTATTGAGTAGAGCAAAAGCAGATTATTGAATACCTCCATGAGAAGAATCCAATAATGTAAAATATTTTTATGCAAAGAAAAGTTTTTTTGGAATGATGTCCAAAATGTTAACAGCGATTATATTCCTGTGGTGGAGTTTTAGGTAACTTTTTTTTTTTTACTTTGTTCTTTGTATTTTTTGAATTTAATTTAGCTAAAAATCAGTTCCTGTAATTTTTAAAGAAAATTATAAAACTATTTGAAAAGACTAAGCATTTTAGAAGTCCCATTTTTATACTTAATCAAGGCTTAAATTTTAGTTAAATACTCTTCCCCTATCATTATTTTTTTTAAACCTCGCAGCCATCTACTGAAGGCATAAAGAAATCCATTCTTGAGGTGATTATATCCTCTTAGTGTAGAACACTGTCTTAGGCTCGTCCTTCAGAGAATTTTATTATGTACTTGAGTCTTTGTAGAGTTCTTTTTATGAGGAGGAAAGCTGCGTATTAAGACTTTGGGGTCATGCCAAAGCTCAAGGGTAGGAGCATATAAAAATGGTTCTTTGTCTTTTCTGGTTTGGGAGATAATTGTTTTGGGTTCACACATTCTTTCTTCCACTCCTTTGAACCCCTTTGCAGGATAATGATATCAACAACTTTTTTTCCCCTTTGGGCTTATTATCTGTTAGGAACTGGACTAAATATATTACATGTAACCCTCAATCCTATGAAGTTGATAATACAATTATGATACTTTACAGATGAGGAGCCTAAGACACAGGAAGGTTAAGTAACCTAGCCAAAGTCTCTCAGCCAGGGAACGGCAGAGCAGGAACTCAGCTCAGCAAGTCAGATTCCAAAGAACCTGTAACCCTAACACTCTACTTTCTCTCTCATTTTCCTCCTAAATATGATTCCAAACACTTCTCCCTAATTTTCCTCGTTCCCAAGCTGTCATTTCAGAAATGCCATGGAGACTGAGGTAGTGAGTTGCCCTGCCTGAGCTTCCCTGCAGAAAGTGCTGTGTGGAGTCATCTCTTTCCTACTCTTTTATTTTTCAGTTGAATCTCTTAAGTTACTTACTACATCCGTGACATCTTCTCTGAAATGCTTGGGTTTCTTACTCTTCAAAGTTGGAGATTCATCTAGGGGGAAAAATTAAGTCTTTTTTTATGTGTGTTTCAACTTTCCACCAAGACCCATCAGGAGAGTTCTTAGTGCTGTTCTTTCCTATCACTGCGTGGATCCTCAGCTGAGGCAGGACAGGATGCCTGTGGCCCATCTGATTACTTGGGGCAGGTATAATTTTTACTAGGTTATAGCTTATTCTGACTGTCAGGGCAATACATGCTCAGTGTAAAAATTTTGGTGAATACAAAAAAGTATACAAAAGAATTAAAAGCATTTATAATCTTACCATCCTGTGATAACCACTAGTAACTGTAATTTCCAAATATATCTGACTTTGCTTTATGCAATTCATATCCACTCATGAAAACTAAGTCTTCTACATAAATTTATAGGCAATAATTTTAGAAAAAGCCCAACTATGCAATTTAGTGTGTAGGATTATTGTTAAAAGGTGTGCCAAAGTTGGTAAAATTAAAATTTCTTTTTTTAATTATAAAAAGGAAATACTTGCAAATATTATAAAACATTAATATGAAAAGACATAAACAGATATAATGGCCTCAGTGTTTTTATTTACTCCTGAAAGTGACATTTCCGTTTTTTTTTTGCCTAACAGGCTATATATAGTGTAGGCCTTAAATTTATGCTTACTTTATGTGAATGGGTTAAGAGCTACCTAAAATACCATCATATCTATAATTTTAGTTTTTACTGTTTTTGCTATTTTGTTGTGATTGGGATTTGGGACATTTTATTTAGGATATTTTACTATTACCCTGGGGCAAAAAGGTTATAAATCTCACCATTGTAATAGCAATAACAATAACAAAAATTTATATGACATAACATATGACAAGTAATAACTCTGTTAAGTTTGATTGCAGTTGAAATAGCTTGTGCTGAGCCTTATTTTTAAAATCTATTTTGTATCCAAATGACTTCTGTAATCCAAACATCTATCCTCTTGTGTTTTCTAGGCATCTGGCCATCCGAAGAGGTTTTGGCTTACTACTGCCTCAAGCACAGTAATATATTCAGGTACAGAACTGCACTTAAAAGAGATTTGTTTATCCCATCATGGATATTGAATCTGCATATTAAAAATGGCCTTGTTTGCATTCTTCAAATTAAATTGTTAGAATGAAAGACAGAGGAAGAAAGGAAAAAGTTGAACAGTTGAACACATGTTGCTTCTGAAAAGAAATCTGCATTTACCTTTGGGTACTAAAATTGCACACCAAACTTTTTGCTATATGTCAAAGTCTTTTGATTTCCACTCAAGGCATTTTATTTCACTTTGATTTGGGAGAAACAAAAGTGAAGCTCCAATCAATCTTTACTGATTGCAGAGGTCAAAAAAAAAAAAAAAAAGCAAAATAAAGACTTCTTTAAATTTCTACTGGGAAAGTCATTACAGAATATTTTATAAATACCTCATAACTATTATTTAAGGGTTTAAAAAAAGATACCATCCTGCTGTGATTTTTAAGTATTTTATGTACTTGGCAATATTTATTTGTGAAATATAAATTACTATAGGGAGTCATGCTACAGAAATAGATGTTTTCAACTGTTAATATGAATTATAGATCAACTCATGAATGGGATTAAGGAAAAGAAAAACATGCTTTTATTTTAAAATTCTAAATATGTTTAGCAGACTCAGAAAATACAGGTTTTTCATTTTAATTTTCATTTTATAAAAGTTATCCAATATATACTTCCCGAATAGTCCATTATGATTCCAGACAAGCCATTAGTGATCATGGTGTGTATTTTAGCAATATGTACTTACAAGATTGGGTCAATAATATGCATTTTTTGAAGCTTGATGGGTCCATATTTAGCCACAGTCTATAATTTCTTTGAACAACTAAATACTCATTAAGTGTATTTCCAAATGTGAATGTCCTATCCTGGCTTCTTCTGCTCCCCTCTCCCCACCCACCCCACCCCTTTTAATTTTGCTTTTTTTTTTCTCCTCTTGAGGTAATAAACTTCCCGAATTGGGAAGAAGGAGCAATCTCAAGAGTCTAAGCAAATAATATAAGAACAGGGCAGTTTTGAATTTGGGCTGCAGAGCTGCCCTGGAAGTCTGGCATTTGCTCATCTCGCTGTGCTTAAGCTTGACTGGAGCTCCAATCAGCGAGCAGTGGGCCAGGGCGAGAGTGTCACACGTTGAGGGCTGATATTTAGGCACAAAGGGGAAGGTAAGTGCAGAATGGCACACTAGACTGTCAGCTTTAACTCTGAGCCGCTTTACTTTCAAGCAGTGAAGCCAAAGCCCAGTCATTACTTCAGCCTGGGCTTGCTGGCTTAACCATATTATGTCCCTGCATTGTTTATTCGTGGTGTTGTGTTGGGGTCAGTTGTGATTTAAGTGTTAATTGCTAAATGCTCTTTGTGTAATTGTGCTTTATGGGGACGGTTCAGCTTTTCAAAATGTTTCGGTTTGTTTTAGATTTTAAAAAAAATTCAGGGTTGCATTTATTTGTGTGTTGTGTGACTATAATGTAGGTATATACACACATATATTCTTCATTTACTTGTCTAACTGTTTTTGAAGGCATGAATGTGGATTAACAGTGTTATCCTTTCCTAACAATTATCTTTCGCTACTCTAGCTAGTTTAGTTCTAAAAGACAGCGCCATTGACAAGGGAAAAAAGGGAACCTTCTCAGATTTTTCAGCTCAGCGGTGGTAATGTTGCAGTGAACACTAATGAGGGAACCCCCACTGATTTGCCTGCTTTGTGACTTTTCTATTTCATAATTATTTTTAAAACGCAAAACGACATGAGGTAGCCTAGTCGCGTCTCCACAACTTCCTGGTAGCGCCGTCCTTACTGCAGATGGCAATTTGTTCTTGTAACATATATATCTCTCTGGCCATTTTCATCTAATTTGTATGGGTTCTACCATTTCTTTTCTCTCTTTCAGGGGCCTTGCTGTGTGTGAGCTAGGGGGTGGCATGACATGCTTGGCTGGGCTCATGGTAGGTCTTTTCTCAATTCCAATCCCATTCAGAGGGAGGAACAAAAGGAAAAATGTTCCAGGGCCTCCAACTGCTGGGTCAGAGAACCGTCAACAGCATCGGCTGTGGTCAAAGCTGCCAGGCCTTGAGAGACCTTCTAGATTGACTTACTTTCGGATCATATTGATTTTAGGGTTGCCTCGATGAGCAGAAACATTTTATCTCCGTGTAGTCAATATCGCTTGTTGTGACATTCCAGGCCTCGCAGTCTTTCTTTGCCATAGCGAAAGCATTTCTTTCTTTTTTTTCTTTTTCTTTTTCTTTTCTTTTTTTTCTTTCTTTTTTTCTTCAGATTATAGTCCCATTTGCTAAGATACAGGAATAGCCCAGCAAATCACAGTTGGAGCACCATGATATAGCTGCTAATGTTTTGCCTGCATTATTACACCAACAAACATGATCCAGAGCGCTCAGTAATTAGATTCTTTTGAATTAGATTGGCCATTCAGGAACGTCGTTCCCCATTCTCTGGGTTCTGAGTCATGTATTCAGGAGATATTATGTAGCAGCACAGTGCATTAGACAAGTTTTTATGTCTCTACAAATAAAAGCATATTGTTACACTGATTGGCATTTGACAAACCTGTCGCTCTTATACAATGTGTCGAGGTTACAGCCCAATGTGCGAGCATGTCAAAGCTCACAAAAAAATTACCCTCACAAAGCCATCTGCCTGCAATGCAAAGTTATATGAAGGGCATCAGGCAGTCAGACAGAAGCAGGCTGAAAGGCAGAGTGACAGCCTTGTATGATGGCTCTACTAGATAAACAGAAGCCCACAAATGAAAGCCTCTCAGAATACCATCATCCGCTGTCACAATGCAATTACCGAACAGAATGATAGCAAGATAGAGGCTCCCGCAAATGGAATGATAAAAGTATTGACTGATTTGATTGAATGATTAAAATAATGCAGACATAAAATGAAAAAAGATTGAAGATTGTTACAGAGAAATAGGTGAGGAAGCATGATACTGAAGGCTTGTCACTCCTGTCTTCACTTCCACACAGACAAGCATATTTGCTCATTGTTTGCTGTACTCCTTTTTTTTTTTTCAGGTTGCTATTTCTGCAGATGTCAAAGAAGTTCTGTTAACTGATGGGAATGAAAAGGCCATCAGAAGTATCCTTATTCAGATAGAAAACGGGTTTGTTGTGCTCATTCCTTTTTCCCGGCTGAGTAACAATTGATATAAAGAAAGACAGCATGGGGTATTAAAAAAGAGTCCCCCCGCACACACATGATAAGTAATTAAGGAAAAGTAGAAATATATCAATTCATTGCTTTTGACCACATAGGTTTGGGTTTTTTTTTACCTTTCGATAGATTTTTATAGACACTTTTTATTAAAGGAGCCTGTTTTAATGGACCAAGGCAATAAGAAAATTTATTTCATAATAATTCTCAAGCATTCTTATGCTTATTATCATTAAGATTTACCAATATGAAATAAATCATTTAATATTTACTTTATTGGGTATTGCTCACAAATATTAACTTCTACTTTCAGGTTTGTTATTATGTATTTTTGTGGCTGATATTATATGTAGCTATGTAATATTGTGCACATCCTAGTTGCTGAGGAGTTACCTATATTCCCCACTGGAAACAGCTATCAGTTCTTCATTATTTCCTTTTATTTAGGATTATAAGAGCTATCTCCTTTTTTTTCTCCTATGCTATTATAGTTCAAACCCCATTATATTAGATTATGCTTTACTAATATGTACACAGAGTTCATGAAAATTGAACTGTATTTTAACTAAGAAAGCAAGCATAATTTGTGGCTACTTTAGCAGTCAAGCTGATTTGCTCAGGGGCAGTTAGCCGTTAGAAATTGAGAGGAAAAGTGGAAGATATGTTTACTTTGGATTTTTTTTTTTTTTTCTGGTGTGCCTTTCGTTTCTGTGATGAGGGAGGCAGTCCACTTACTTGAATTTTAGGCCCCTAAAATGCCAAGCAGCTTTGATATTTGCAGAATCACACCTAAAACTGTTTTTTGATTTTCTTTTTCTACCTCCACTCTGTAATTTTTTGAAAATAAAATTCACTGCCGCTCAATCAGGCTGCTCACATAGGAGGAAGGAGGTACAAGAAGCACAGTAGCTAATATTGTTCAGCAGCACTTGTGTGCGCCACAGAGCCCCACCCAGCTAATTGCCTAACAGACCTAAAAAAAAAAAATCAGGAAGGAAAAACAGCCAATCACAATCTTGGCCTTTCACACAAGGGAAAGAGATGACAAAAGGTGCTTCCTTTTTTAAAATGCAGGATTTTAATCATGATCCTGAGACTGTTGAAAGTTTTTCAAAATATTCCTGAAGATGAGCTGATGTTGCTTCATTCACTCTGCCTTATTCACAGTTATTCTCTGCATGTATCATTTCACTGTGCTCCTCCTCCTTATGTCAGGGAATACAGAGAACAAGAGGAAGCTCAGGTATGCCAGCTCAGCCCCCAAAGAAAGTCACTGGGGGGAAGAAAAACAGAAATAGTGAACAAGAGAAGGCTATTCTGGCCACAGAAACTTTCAGATTGAGCCCAGCAAGCTGAGATTTTTCTCAAATCAGCAGGTGTCTTATTTAATAGCATCAGAAACTAATTAGAACTTTTATCAAAATATGGGAAAGATCTGTAGTCAGTATGTAAATAAAACTGTACTAAAATTATGACTGAGCTAACAGAGCGTCCAAGATAGGAAGAAAGGCCAATGTCATTAATTACCACACCTTTGCTCCATACAGCAAAGATGTCATGCCAGCTCTTGAAACCAGAGAGGAAATCTCAGATTCTGCATTCACTCTGCTGGCCTTTCAAAGAAATGATTGGTACAGCCCCCTCCCAAGAAAATGGATTTTTAACATTTGGTCCTCAGAAGCTCAGCCCTGAGAGTGCTTTATTGTGCTGGGTTTTACAATGGGTTTAATATAGCAGGGTGCCAAAGGGCAGGAGGGGAAGAACTTTACAATGTAGATAAAGTAGGTCCTTTCAGGATGCAGACCAAAACTGGTTGTGTGTTTTATTTCATCTCTTAGGACTTTACTGATAGAGTTCAGTTTTTATCATGCAGTTGTTCTACATTTGTGTGCCTTTTTCTGTTGTAACTAGATCTAATTTTTTTTAATTAAGAGAAAAAAGCATGAATCAAACCTTAAAATTGGCAATGTGTTTTTTCCTGCTTTTAATACTAATGTTGTTCTTGACTTGCTAACAGAGCTTACAATAGGCATCTGTTGTAATCTGTTTTACTGAGTGAAGTTAATATGAGTGAATTTTTCTCCCTTCTATGTGCCCACTTTCTGTAAGAATAACTAATTCACTGAATCACATACTATTGATGCATATAGATTGAAACAAACTAATTTAAAAATTACTGTTTATATCTTTCTTTTAAAATTTTAGGAAGCCTAAATTATATAGCAGTTGTAGGATATTATCCAAAAATTACTTTCTAAAAAGTAAAAGTGGATGTCAACAAAAAAGGGGGAGAAACATTGCCAGAAGCCAGAAAATCTCTAAGCAAAGCTGCTAATTATTCTTAATGGGCAAGATGAGCACATTAAGAAACAAATGAATACATCAGTGAAGTGTAATTGAAAATCGACCTGGCAGTCACACATCACATCTGAGTATTGGCCTGTATATTATTTTCATCATTTTAAAAATTATTTTTGTTGTTCTTGGCTTCTGAATTTAATGAATCCAACTGAGTCTTACTTTCTAGTCTCTTAAGCTTTTAAGATTCTGATTTTTTAAACCTTTTTAAAAGACAAATAACATTTTCTGGTTTTCCTTTTAATCTTCTGTTATTTCTATTTTTTAAATATGTGAGGTGGTGAATGGATTGGTTCTGAATCTTTATATCAGAGAAGCTTGTCAACCAGTTGTGAGTTTACTTATTATCTTCCTAAAATGTATCAAATGGATTGGCTATGTCTTCTAGAACTCTCTACCTTGACCCTGAAAAGCTAGATGTTGATCTGAGATTTATTAAGCAGAGCCATCTGGAAAGAGATTAAGAGTTGAGGTAAAATGAATTTTCTAAGTCTTAAATATTTTCTCACAATTCATGGGTAGGACTCCTGGAGGCTCTGCTTGGTCCTTAAACCGTATTGCTCCATATAACCCAGAGTTGCCTGGTTGAGAAATGTCTCTTCCTATAGATACAATTTTATCTCTACCCAAAGAGATCAAAGAATAAATTGGAAATTAAATCATTTGGTTCATCCAGTTCTCAAATTTATTCTAGAATAATGTGAAATGTATTCCTTTTTCTTTGGCATTCTTTTAGTATAGTAAAGAAATCTCCAAGCACCTACATATAATAATTACTCAATAAGGTTTGTAGCTGGTGAGGACAATGACATAACTATTAGGAAGAAAAATGGTATATTGAGTTCTTATTAAAGTTAAACCTTTTCCAACTCATAATGAATAAAGTAGAATACCTAAAGGTGAGCAAACTTCTCTGGCTCCAATCACTAACTCACCCAGTGCATGCACCCTGCTATGATCCATCCCTAGTAAAAGTCTAGTGTGTTATCTGAAGAATATTTCCATATTTCCCGACCCGTTTCTCTGTATTCTTAACTCAGGCATCTTATTGTCACAGTGCAATGTCTACATCATGATCTGGACCTTAGGATTCTACAAAAACATGCAAATCTCCTATACTTTTAAAAGGAGATATTCCTGGCTTAACATTGTTTTATTAACAAAATCCTTGATTTTTTTTTTTTTTTTTGGTACCAGGGATCAAACTTATCCTTGCACTTGCGAGGCAGGCGGCAGAACCACTGAGCTAAATCTCTAGCCCCATTATTTGTATATTTAATAAGTGAAGCTTATTAAATGGATGGTTGAGAACTTGGGAATCCCAAGCCATTATCCTGGGCCCAAGCCCTTCCTCCAATAGTGATGCCAGTTGTACCTCTGTCTACTTACCTCTATCTACTAGATGAGTCATAAGTAAACTCTATCTGCTTCATCTCAGGTAGGAGCTCAACAAATATTTTTTTAAATTAAATTTAAATCAATTCAATGCATATTAACTATATGCCATTTCAGGTGCTAAAGATACAGGAGTGGACAAGAAAGATGTAGTCCCTGTCTTTGTGAGGTACAGATTTTGCTAGGGCTACAATGCATTTACACATGAGAAAGACACTGGAAAAACTACAGGGCAGAAGTTCTTTGATTCAGGGCTTGGAATGTGGCTCCACACCTGCCTGGCAAATGCAAGGTCCTAAGTTCAATCACTGGTACCAGGAAAAAAGAGAGACAGAGACAGAGACAGAGAGATTCTTTGATTCTCTCCATTCATTTCAATTTTACAATATAAATATTCACATACTTAGCTCTGAGCAGCAAAGACAGAAAATAAAGCCTAACTGGAAAACCTTGTTTTAGTTATTATCACTAATCTTTTTGTCTTATTAAAGCTTTTGCCCAAGTTATTCAAATAAGATAATGAATTGGTATGAAGTAGGCACCTACTATGTGCTGGGCTTATCATATGGAGCATCCCATTAAGTCTATAAAATAGGTATCATTATTTTGTTTTAGAGATGGAGCTCAAAGAGGTTGTTTTACTCAAAGCCACATAGCTAGAAGCCAGGTTCATTTGCTTCAAGGTGTGATTTTTCCCATTAAACCATCCAGTCTCACCAAAAATGAGAATGATTGGCTGAATGTCATCTTGCACTTCCTCAGCACTCTCTAGAAGAAAAGGCCTTTCATGAATAAACGTAACAGTTGGTGTTGCTAACAGAGAGTTCATAGACCTCTGTGTCATTCTCGCAATTCTTTGGAGTAATAAGCGCAGTTAAGAATAGTTTGCAATCTTAAATCAGCAAATATTGCCACAGTAAGCATTTTTAAAAATGCTTTAGAGATAAAAATTAACAGGATTTATATTATAATCTTATAGTTTCCTATCCTCACTTTTAATCCCCCGATGAATAAAGATACCAATAGAGTAATGCATTATATTCTTATTTTTGAAATATTTTCTTACTTAAAGAATAATACCAACTGTCAGAATGTGTGTAAAACTCCTCATAAATAATTACAGGAAGAGGCTAATATATGAAACAATATTTTATACACAAGTAACATATATAGTCTGTTTAAATGACTATTATGGCTATTATATACAATTATATTTTTAAGAATAAAAATGGAGCCCCACTCCTGAACCATGCCTTGTTTGAGAGGAAAATCTAGGGGCAGGATTCTGGTTTCCTTTTAGCCCTGAGCATATGTCCTGCAGCTCTGGAAGTCCAGTTGCCCAGACAAGGGGAGCAGAGGTGATTGCTGTGTCCACTTAATCAGAAATCACATTAAGGCTGTCTTTGCACCCAGCCCCTCCCACTGAAGTCTTCCATAAGGTAGGTGCAGAGAGCGTGATTTGTGTTGAGCACTATTCTGGACATATTGACTGGATTTGATTGGATTTCCTTCATTACCCTGAGGTGACATGGAAGGATGATAAAAATCTATTATTGGACACAATGCCATCCAGATGAACCATCAAAATCTGACCTAAAGGAAAGGGTGAGGAGCAGAGTATCAGAATTTATTTAAGGTAATATTTAAAATATGATTGCCACTTTTCTCTTTGTACTTGTTTTAATATTAAAAACGCCTTCAAAACCAAAAAATATATTCCCTGCCCAGTTCTAAAAATAAAGCAGCCTAAATACTGCTGTGAATTTTTTCATTAAAAAAATTTGCTTCCAGAATATATAAATACATACACTTGATTCAGCCTGACCACCTGGAGTCACAGGTTTATAAATTGTATGAAAGTATATAGTGTTAAGATGTTTACTAAAAATTATTAATAGGTCTTCTGAGTTATATAATTTAACTTCCCTGTGACTATTTTATAAAAAGTATTACTTCCACTAACAAAATAATATGTTTTGCTTGATAGATTAGTCATGTACTCATGTGACGCTACAGGTGTACCAGGCACATTATAGCCTGTGGTTGGATGCCATGGAAACGCTGAGTAGGGTGTGGTCTGATGTGGGGGGAAATTAATCAAAAACAGTTGTCAGTTGACTCTTTACTAATTTTGTTCTTCTCAGAATAAAGATGTCAGCTGTCCTTTTCTGCCAGGCATTTCATTTAGAAGACTTTCCTGAAATACTTTCTTCCTGAAATAGACAGAACTGTAGGCCGATGTGTCATTTTAGTTAATCAAAACAAGTAGGCAAATTAGTCTCCTTTATTTTTTAATGAATGTAATTTAACGGTATTTAATTTGCATACAGGGAAGTTCACCCCAGAAAAAAAAGTCTGCATTATAGCACTTTTGTAAACCTCAACAAAGCCCTTCATTAGGAGACCTAATTGATTTTTCCTACCCACTCCTGAGGGAAGAAAGCTATCACAGTACCTGCTTATTCACTCAGAGAAGAAATGGGTGTGCTTGGTGGTTCAAGCAGAGATTTGGGTTAAAAAGTCCTGTGGCTCTGTTCTTGCAGGGAGATCTTGGCCAATGCTTGCTTTGAGTATTCAGGAAATCTGTTTTTCTGAGCAATAGGGGAACATCGCTTGTCTGCTTGGTGTCCTCCCCATGGGCCCAATTTAGTTCAGCTTGCAGCCTTCACTGGAATTATTTTATTTCTTGCTTTTTTAAACCTGCCTTGTTCCAAATGGGGGATTTTGAGGCTTCTTGCAGTAACACATGGAACATACCATGAACAATAAATTCGAAAGTAAGAACAATTGGAATTAGAAAACCAGAAAAATATGATGAAACCAGAGTTAGGACGTTAGGTCCTGTTGTGCACAGGGACAATAGCAAAGACAGAGCAACAGTTATGAGATTTTTAGTGCCCAGAAGTTGAAGCATAGTCAGTTGATCTGAGGTCCAGCTTTTCCTGGTGTTGAAACCTGGTATTTTCCCATGGGGCATGCCATGTCCCTTCAGTGAACATGGGTCTTTAACCATGGCTCAGTAAACAAGTCCTTCCATGCCAGGAGATGGCCAAAGGCCAAACCATACATCTGCAAGGACAGTTCTTCGAAGGGCCTTTCACTATACTGTCTTTCTTATTTAGTAATTCATTTTCTCCCCAAGATGCTCTAAGCTTTTCTTCACCTTTTTCTCACTTGACCCCACATCTCTCCCTGCTGCTCATTGCCGCCTTCCCTGCTAGAATTTAGGAGACTGGAAGTATTTCAACTTGGTTGGCATTGCCCTCCCCTCTGACTTGAAGGCCATTGAACTCCTAGTTATTTCCCAGGAAATGGGGCCTGGCACCTGTGCAGCAGTTGTTCTCCACTGATCCCCCGACTCTGGGACTTGCTAGGATGCTACCCAGATGTATATTTCAAGGGTGACAAAACTGCAGCCTACAGAATGAAGATCTTGCTTATGGCAAGTCAGCATTTGGTGGTTGAGGCAAGGCTATACTCTTCTGCCTCATACTCTATAGCTCTTCTCTTTTTGCTTGTGAATCCCATTATAATAAGAAGGTCACTGTTGTGGGCATTTTTTTTTCTGAGTCTATTGCCAATCACTGTCAAGATTTTCTTAACTGTGTCCTGTAGATGTGAGAGACATCATCGCAAGGAATCAGAAGGCTGGTGTGTTTAAGACTCAGAAAATATTAAGCTGGTAAGATACCTTTCTACATTAAAACATTCTAGTTGAAACTGGATATACTTTTTTTAGACAAGTGGTGATTATTAAACATAAATATAGCTAACATTTATTGAGCACTTTGTCAGGCATTGTTTTAAATCTTAGCACTGTACGAATGGTATCTCATTTAATGCTCATGAGAACCCTGAGCAGACAGATACTCTCATTATTTCCAGTTAATAGCGGAGAAAACTGAAGGTAACTACATTAAACACTGGGTTGGGGATGATTTAAGGACTGAGGTTGCACAATATGAGGTTGAAAGAAGCTCAGTGTTGGACTTTCTTAAATTACTACATTCAGGGCCAGGGATTTAGCTCAGTGGTTTTGCTGCCTGCTGCGTAAGCGCAAGGACCTGAGTTTGATCCCTGGTACCAAAAAACCCCCCAAAAAACAAAACCCAAAACTTAAATTACTACATTCTAGTGATCATTCTACATTCTAGCAGTCAACTACATTCTAGTTGTCAACCTGGGGCGGTTTTACTCATCAGGGGATTTGGGGTTCTCTGGAGACAGGTTTTGCTGTCAGAGCTTGAGAAGAGAAGGGAGAGTGTTGCTACTGGCATCTAGTGGGTAGAGGCCAAAATTATCACCCAGGTCATTCAGTGCACAGGACAGCGCCCCACCCGCTGCCCCCCAACAGTATCTGGGCCAAAACATCAGTAGGGCTGGGATTGAGAAACTTGCTCTATTCTATGATTTTGAAATAATCTGTGTATCCATTCCTGTAAGGATTCTCTTCACTCTTATTCAGACTAGGAGAAATCCTTGCCCTCAACCAAAACAGTGGTGTGTTCCCTGATGCTACATTTTATTTTTACCCTTTGACAATAGACTTAGAAGCAGTGAATAATCATGTAATTCTCACATGAAATATCTGTATTTCTGCAATTTTCTCAAGTACATTTAATTCTAAACTTTTTAGAAGAACAATTTTATTTTAAAATTTTATTTATTACTGTTAATCTGTCATCCTTTGGTATTTTACATCTTCCCTTTTGCTAAGGACACTTTCCTGCCCCGGTTGCCCAGTTTGTGATGAACTATGCTTAAAAGCCAAAGTGGTAGGGCCGGGGATTTAGCTCAGTGGTTCTGGCACCTGCCTCGGAAGTGCAAGGTCCCGAGTTGGATCCCTGGTACCAAAAAACACCCCAAAGTGGTGGATATACTGGTATGAGGTTATGGAATAGCAATAATCTGTTTCTCTTGTATTAGTTGGTGAATTCAATGAAATGCCTATATATGTATATAGTTTTAAATCCTGCATTAGGATGTTCTATACTGGTTGATGGCGCAAGGGAAGGCATTATGCTCTGCTTTTCTTGTGTAAATGGACAAACTAGTATCCCACAGAACCTCAGGCAGGTCCAGAGAAAGAAAGAGCCTGCTGTCCCTATGCCTTCCTCCTTCTCCATCCAGCCTTCCCTCTGCAGTACAGATGGCCATCCATTCTGGAGAGGACTCTTCATTTTGGGACCTGATTTTCAACCTAGTCTTTTAGTTATCAATCAAAAGTGCATTTTCTATGTTGTCCTCATTTACATTTATTTAGTGCTTAAGGTCATTTGTGACCATTTGAGTGTGTTTCAGCATATGGAATCAGGGAATAATAGATTTCAGCTTCATGCTGTGAAAAGAGATTGTGTTTTTACAAGACAAAATGTTGTTTACTGGGTGTTAATAATCACTAATTAATAAACATATCTAGACTTCTAAAATGTTGCATTTTAAGGAATAAAAATGTCAAGTGTTTAACTTATGGTGTGTGATAATATTTTCTATCATCTCTTTTTCAAATAATTAAGTTATATGAAGCAGCAAAATGTTGTTCAATACAGGATTCCACATGCTTAATACATGGCCTTTTTTTTTTTTTCTGTTCTTAAAAAAATGCAATTTCTAAGTATGTGGCTCTATTATGTACTTGGATATACAGTCTATATTTCAACACTCATCAGGAACCTCTAAGATGAGAGGGTTTTTTCCCTCAGCCCCCACCTTCCCATCTTTATCTCATTCTATTTGTGGTCAGTTTCTCCTCCTTAAGCTACTGTAAGCATTTCGTCCCAAGTCTACTAAAGCACTTGCCAGAAAACAGGTGGATGAATCAGTCCTTGAGATGCCTTGATCTTGTATTAAGGAGCTACTTGACCACTTAACCTTCAAACAACTAAAGGAAACTGCCAACCAGTGATGTAATAATCAGCATTCCTCTTCCATCCACTGCTTTCCCACCCAGAACCAGTACAATGTGATGAAAGTATTAGTTCCATGAGAGAGGAAATAAAAGGAAACCATTCACAAAAGAGCTAAGATATAGTTCAATATTCTTTTTTAGTGCCTCAATGCATATGCAGAATTTCTCCTCCAAATTGGAGGTGTGAAATAACAGTAGCGACAGATAACTAAGAGGTATTTACCATAGCTACAAAGCCCACACGTGAGCCAAATATTTCTGCTATTAAAAAGCACTTCAAAGCTTGACATGAAGTTTGTAACAGCTGAATGTCTCTTGTGACTTCATTTGCAAAGGAGATGTAAAAGCTGAAAGGAAAGTCGTGATATGAGAACTGTGAGCCTAAGAAATAGCATTTTTAGAAAAGAAGAAGCTGCCCAGAAATTTGACTGGCACCACCAAGCTCCTGTTCCCCTGCTCAGACAGGGTTCTTAGTAACTGCCATGGTTTGGATAAGTGTCCCCCAAAGGCCCACATGCTAAAGGCTTGGTCCCCAGCCTGTGGTAATACTGAGGGGCAGTAGGACCTTCAGAAGGTAGGCCCACTGGCCCCAAGCTAGGTCATTTAGAGTGTGCCTTTGAAGGGGATGTTGGCACCCTGGCACCTTCCAGTCTGTCTTTGCTTCCTAGACACAATGAGGCAAGCAGTTTCCTCTGCCATGCACTCCCACCATAATATACCGCCTTGCCACAGCCCCAAGAGCAATGGGCCTCTGACCATGGACTGAAACCCTCACACTGTGAGCCAAAATAAACCTTTCCTCTTGATGGGTTGACACAGTAATGGAAAGCTTCCTAGTTTCTCCTGCCACTGGCCTTTTCCTACCTCTCACAGGGCCTGACCCAGGTTGTGTGGGGCCTGAAACTTATTTTGAGGCTCTCCTTTAGGAGGATGAATTCAGTTATACCTTACTTTGGTGAATTTTATAGGAATATACGACCAAATGAACACCTTCTCAAGGCTCCCTAGAAGGGGCCTTTCAGAGGGAGGGGCTCCAATGTTAAGCTTCAGTAGGCTTGCAGTAAGTCTGCTCTGCTCTCATAAAAACCACCATCCTTGCCCAGAGTAACTCCTTTCCCTCTCATACTGATTCTTCATTCATTCATTCATTTTCTTACTGAGTCTCATTCTTCCTCACTCTATTTTGATCCCAGTCTGATTTTTGCTAAATATGAAAGACATGGGTTTTTTTTTCCCCCATTAAGTTTATTGGTACATTTTCGGTATACAATACAGTTACATTCATCATTGGGATCTTGTACCATTACATGAGT